ACAATGGATGCACCTTGATATGGTCTTTGCAATATTTTGAGTATGTTTGGTTTTGTAGAATTTACAATGTATTTTCACAGATGTCATCTGACCTTCATAAAACCCAAAGAGGAAGGTAACATAAGCACCACATCTGCAGCCTTGGGTAAGTACTGTTCTTCTCTGAGCTTCATTTCCTAAATAATAAGCTGAGAGGGTTGACTTGATGATTTCTAAAGAAACTTCTAGTGCTAAAATTCTGTGTTCTCCAATTTACAGATATGAAAACAGAGCTAGACAGGTTAAGAAACTGGTCCACTGTCACAAAGTAAAATGAAGAGTTAAATCTAGAGAAGAATTTTTGTCTTTTGAATTCTAGTCAGAGGCTCTTTCTGTCACATCATTTTCCTTGGATCTAAAGGAATTTGCCACTCTTCGCCTCTCCTTTCTATTTTGTTTAAATCAGGTTTTTACTGAAATTGCAGAAATTTGTTTTTGTAATAGCAATGGAAAATAGGAAAACAAGAGGCAAAGTGGGATGCAGTGGTATCACATGATTACACCAGCGATAAAATGGGTGGGGAAAATGCAAATTATGCTGACAAATTTGTATCATCTATGTGAAAAGCTGGGCTAAATATTAAAGATTTTATGAGATGTACTCAATACTAACATATTTCTACTTAAGGCATTACAGCACATACAGCCACATGCTAGCATAGTGGGTTCAAACCTATTTAAAAAGCAGCAGAAATTCCCCCTTTTATTATAGATAAAAATCTTATGCAGACCCCTAAAATACACAACAGTGAATGAGAAGTTGCTCAGGCTAAAGTGGAGCCAGAGATCTCAGGACCCAACTCAACTGGTTTCCTCTTTTTTCTTTCCCAAGCTGGCTCTGTAGAACACAGTCTGCAAAACTACTGTTGGACTACAGATTAAAATTATACTCCATCTCATTTACAGAAAGTGAGTCTAGATTAAATTTGAAACTGATATAAAAGTACTGTTTTTGTTAAGACAAATTATTCATAGAAAATCTCCTTCTCAATAAGAAACATTTATAAAATTTAACACTATAATATGTAATCATCGAATAGAAAATTACACACACATATACACACACCCATGGTAGTTACCTCTAGGCCTTCTAAGGAAAGCAAGGGGTCCAGAATTATAAAAGTGATTAAAACATACTTATTTTTCCAATTTATTCCTTCCATGCTTGGAGGAGCAGGAATCAGTAGTAAAAGTGAGAGTTGATGGGCATCCAGGGGTATTATGGACAAATCTAACATATTACAAAGAACTACAGCAGCGGAAAAAGAGGGTGCTCAAGTGGGATCTCATTTGGGTTAACAGGCAACTTTA